ATTCGAGCAAATATGTCAGGGTTAAGTCATGTGAAAAGTAATTTAGTTGATGCCCTCCAAATGCCAACCTATTTTCCAAATTTAATTGGGGCATCAAAGCTGTTGAGAAGCATTTTGCGTAAAGAAAAATAGAGACTGTATCTTTGTATGTCAATTTGGAATCTATGCGATTCTAAATGGACATATGCCGATTCCCAAATTGACATATTATTATGTCAGGTTGAAATTACGTCAATCCTAAATTGACATGTGTCAAGTTGGGATTTATGTCAATATAGAATAATATGTAGATTAGATAAACGATATTATTAAGCAATGTCAACTGGTATAGCTAATGTTATAAATTAGAGGCATTTATTCTTACAAACAAGTTCGTTATTATTAGTGTCTTTTATAAGAGTCGCTTGATCGAAACTTTTAAATGAGACTTGAAGTATAATTCCGATAGTAGATTCAATAATTGTATTGAGAGCAGTATAGTAATAGTTAAGATTGCATGAATTTCATGCATATCATTATCACACGATGAAAATACGATCTTATTGGTTGAATTGTTGGATAAAAATCTATCATCGTACAATGATCTATGATTTGTTCATATCGTGCGATGATTTGCATTCATTAAATTAAATTACTATATACGGTTAGCTGTAAACGTTCGTATGTATTAGTATATGATGATCGAGACAAAATTTACGCTAAATTCAGACAAATTCATATTTCGATAGTTGAAGAAATTGGCCTCTACCAACATCAAGCAAATTATCGTATGAATAGATTGTCATACTGAATTATATAGATGCAATCAGCCATTTTAACTATTGAACTAAACAATTCAACAATTCGCGTTTTTTGTACCATTAATTTTTGTTTTATATATCTTCAATTCAATAGTTGTCTGCCTGTTACTATCTCATTTTTTTTGTTCTCTGCATCAGTGAATGACATTTTCATCATACTTGTCGTTTATTGTGTATGGATCTGTGGCAATCCCATGGAGGGTATTATCCCGCCAAGGAAGGTATCATCTCACATGAGAGAAAGTGCAAAACAGCTTTGGATTCATACCTTCTACTTCTGGGTTTATACTTTGTTGTAGTCGTGCTATGAGTGAAATTAAGGATCCCAAGATCATCCCATTCAGTGCAAATATTATGAAGAATACAACAGACATAGTAATAATATAAATATAAATAATAGATAGCATTTACTACATTATAAGGCTGTAACCTCCATATTATACAGGGGGGGGGGGGACAAAAGTATTGCACACTTTTATATTTAAGATTTTGAAAAGGTTTTATTAAACTCAAAAGAAAATTTTTATTTACTTAAAGTAGCATCAATATTTAGTATTTTCTCCATTTGCAGCAATCACAGCTTGAATTCGATTGGGCATAGATAATATTAAATCACGATATACGTTTTGCGGAAGCGCATTTCACACTTTTTTTACCGCCTTCTCAAGTTCACGAATGTTTAAAGGCCGAGGTTTGCGTTTTCGCTGCGCTACCTCAACTACAGCCTAAAGGTTCTCAATTGGGTTGATATCAGGACTTTGAGGAGACCACTTAAGCACCTCTACGTTTTGGGAAAGGAGAAAGTTTTGTGCAATCTTTGCAATGTGTACAGGAGCATTGTCTTCCTGGAAATAAATTTTCTTTTGTTTTGGCGGGCAAATGTTTTGAGTGTGGCAATGGCGTATTCTTCAAGTATACCTTTATATACTTCACCAGTTATCGAACCTCGAATATTGATAGGACCCAGTTTTAAATAAGAAAAACATGCCCAACATTTTTGGGGTGAATGCTTCACTGTTGATGCGATACAAATTTCATCATATTTTTCTCCACCCAGACTTTTGAAACTGAGAGAAAGTAGATTCATCCGACCATATGACTTTCTTCCAGTCTGCAACAGTCCAATCCCTTTTTCCATTGCTCACTCGAATCAAATTTTTCGATTTTTTTCTGAAATGAGAGGCTTTTTTAACGGAATGCAAGAACGCAAGTTTTTTCATAAAGTGCACGTTGGACTGTTTTTATAGAAATTTGTCGGTTTTTAGATTTAGAAAATTTTTAGTAATTTCTCAGATTCTGTCGTCGTGACTTTTTGTTCGCTGTAACAGCAGTTTTTAATTTTGCCGATCCTATTGATTCAGAATGCGCGGCCGACCTGATCGTAAAAAACCGTAGAATTGTCGTGCGATGACATCCTACCACTTTTGCAAATTGCTGCATCATCGTGACCGAGTTTTTTGGCTGCAACTATAGCACCTTTTTGAGGATCAGTAAGTTCTTTGGCAAGACCCATATGCGCCGACGTAAAAATTAGGGGTTTTGGTTAAGTTATTTTGGAGTCATCACGACACGTTTTATTAAATCAAAATAAAAATCCCATTTATATTTAGGCAAATGGTGCAGTAAATGGTACAAAAGTTAAATTTTTTATTACATATAAAAAATCTGTCGAACCAGGTAAATTGCTTCCCCCCCCCCCCTTGTATGTCATCTCCTTTGAGTTTGCTAATGCTCTTTTGACAGCCATTCAAACAGATAAACATACTCTATTATTTATGTATTGTCTTTTTTTTTTGTCTAATTTCTGACTTTTGCGTTTACGTGATTGTCGCATTCTGCTTAAGCCTTGGTTTGAATGTCTCTTAAAAGGTACCAACAATCAATGCATGAGTGGTGTGAAGAACGGAAGCCGACGATGACGTATTCCTCTCTGAAATTGGAGCGACGGTCACAGTTAATTGTAATATAAGACAAGTACCGAAGGTTGGCAAGCAGAATGTAGTATGTCGCGCGAGCAGCAGCGAACTCGATCGTAAGGACTCTTGTTTTTCGCTCCTTGGAGCCCGGTTGGCCTTCATCACCGAAACCAACTTTTTCTATAAGTTTTCATGTATTATATATGACGGTCTTCATTATACGATCTTCAACCTTTCCAATTGTTGCTGGAGTGACAGCCTCGTGAGGACGTCCTGAACGAGCTTCATCTTAACACTTTGTTTCCCAAGTCCAAATGCTTCAATCCAGCGATGAAATTGTTCTCGATAGTCATTTTTCCACCCAACAAAATATAGTAGCGTTGGTTTTCGCGAGTAGAATGCTCCATTTGTTTTGGGTTAGGCAACTTTGAATGGGAATTTCTCCAAAGCGATTTGCAATGTCAGATGTAGTACATTCAGAAAATAAAAACTTTATTTGGATAAGTGGTCGCAAATTGAGTGGATTTAGATCGTCCTACTTCGAGTTTCGCTTTATTGTCGAGTTGGTAACAAGCGTTATAATGCAGCGAGGGACCGAGAGTAAGTCCAATTAATAATCCGCAAGAGAATGTGAGCTCTTCGTAGATTTGTCTTAATGTAATGTAGATGTGATGATTATTTAACATTTGTAATTTGATCGATTGCAATTTAGTTTTAAGTGAACTGGGGTTAGTTTTATAACAAATCTTCGAGTCTGTCAAGCGTGCATTAAACAATACAATTTTTTTACGCGACGTAAACACACCTCACGCGTTTGTTTTCTTTCCAATTTGGGAGATGTAAAATGAGTAAATTTGAGCGTTGTTTACAACCATAAATATTTACACTGTATGTCGTGACCATATGATCAAAATCAAGCAGTCTGTCTCCTCCTAAAGTTTTACTCACAAGCCGTATAGTTAGCGTACAAGTAAAAAACATCAAAGACAATTTTTTATAATATTTGAGTAAGATAATTGCTTGCAGCCTTTGAAGATACTAATTTGCAATTTAATATCCAGCCTGGTAAATTTAGTAAAATATTTCAGGAAAAGGCTACCACAAAAAGTCTTTCGTCTGAACATGATCTTGACGCATTAGACGAAAAGAGGAGAAGGAAAATACTTTGGTAATTTTCTCAGAAAATTAATTTATTCAACTCAAGAAATCGGGTCTTCATTGTCAATTTAAGAAACCGATAAATTCTTTTGACCCCCTGTCATACTTGCAACCTCAATAAAGGTCTGGCCAATAATAACCGATTGCTAAATTTTTAATTTATTTGTTTAGTTCAGCATCAAGGGCACGATATAATTATAGCATCAATTGAATGATGGTGTCAAATCCTTTGCAGCAGAATATTTTATTATTATGCCAAAATGGTTTACCATATTCTAATTCACATGATTTTGAATAAAAAAAATAAAATTTATTAAGCGAATAAAGAATAGTAAGTTATCACCACGGTACAACTATCTGAGAGAGATTTTTGGATGACAAATGTTTAGTCATGATGATTAAAAAAATTCTCATTTGCTGCCATATTTGTTGGGAAGATCATTATTAGTCCCAAGTTTTTAATTCGCTCGCAAGCCACCGATTCCCAAAATAGATTAAGAAATAAAGCTTCGATACAGTAGTAGTAACGAATGACAATCGAATGCACTTGGTCAGTAACAGGGACCCGATAAAGGCTTAAAATCGAACATAATTATGAAGTAACATATATTTTGAAGCATGAAAGATGAAAGAACCAATATATGAAAATAGTCAAGCTGAATTGAAGACAAAAAAATCATTCGCCCCAGAAAAGGAAAGAAGGAGCTTTCCAATAGGAACAGAAAACTTTTCAGATGTAAAATTTGGAATAAAAAGTCAGAACTAAACATCTATCTTTAATATAGTAAGGCCATTACACCGCCATTTTTCTCTACAATACTAAACATCGGCGCTTCTGCTTAATCACCGGAGGATCCAGAGCAGCAACAATGGCTTCATCAAACACATTCTTCAAACCTTTCTGTGTCAGAGCGGAGCACTCGACGTACTTTACTGCACCCAATTCTTTTGCTAATCTTTCTCCTTGTTCGGGAGTGACTGGTCTCATTTTTTGTCTTTGGAGTTTCTCGACTACTGTTGGATCATCCCGTAAATCTATCTGCGTACCGACAATGAGACAGGGAACGCCGGGACAATGGTGATGAACTTCTGGAAACCATTTCTCTTTGACGTTTTCAAAGGACGCAGGGGATGTTACGGAGAAACAGACAAGAAAGACGTCTGTCTGAGGGTAAGAAAGCGGGCGAAGTCGGTCGTAATCCTCTTGACCTGTATATCAGATAGGGGTTGGGTGAATAGAAATGGGTGAGTGTTACTTGCAGGGTGACCATGGAACAGAATTTTAAGGTATCGCTGAAAATGTGATTTTACTGATCGGGAATGATTGCAACAAATATCCGTTATCAACAACATTGATATATCGCCAATCTCGTTAATTGCTCGACTTACCAGCTGTGTCAAATAAACCTAATGTATAAGGTTCCTCACCAATCATCACTGTGACGGCATAGTTATCAAAAACCTAATAAAATTGGGCAAATAGTCCTTCATTAACGGAGGCATCTCTCATACCAACAACTTCACATTCTAGTTCGAAATCAACTAATGATTTAGAAGACAAGAAACAAGTTAAGACTAGCAGTCGTAGTTATAGCCCCAAGCAAGTAATAGACACGTAACTTGTGTAGCTTAACTAGATGAAGTAACTTATTCGTTGTCCCTAACAAATCAAAAGACCACTGATGGCTATTTCATCTATTCACAATGCCCTTGAATCGTAATTCCGTGTCACGCATCTTTTCTCTCTCATCTCTATCAACTATTTTACTACATAAATACGCAATCCAACACACTCCTTGTCCAATGCTTTCTGAAGAAAGCAACTTTTCAACATGAAATAGTATACTTCATGTTCATATATGGTATTATATGTGAACATACTAACCGTTGGAACATACTCCGAAGGAAATTTATTAGTTGTGTACGAAATAAGAAGACACGTCTGTTGAAGAAAGTTGGGAGATTAAGAGCATGTTAATTCTTATAGTCATGATATTTACAAAGACATGCGCAGTATTTAATCGTCATAAACTACGCTATGATATCTTAATTGCTCAAGATTGCAGGTAGCTTGTATTGATAATAAATAAGCAAAACCCCGGATATCCATGATACTTGTCTCCAAATAACGCTCGTTCGCACTTTTCAAAGGCTAATATTATGTCATATCAAACTATTGCTCGATACACCAAACATGCTCCGCCCCTTTTCATGGATCAACTTTCCCCGCTAAAACACTCGATACGCTTGGTCGCCCGCCCCATGTTTGATAGAAAACTATTCTCTCATCTTCCCGTCTCCTCCCTGCGAGTGTAGGTTCTCTTACCTTTCCGACAGCACCATCACCTACTACAACACACTTGATTGTTTGCATGATTAATTAGTCCACTTATTCCTTATAAACTATAATACTATTACTCGGGTAGCAACGGAAGTCTAGAATGGTATGAATAAGGTAAGTATATGATGAATAGTATTATTCGTTGAGAATGGGTGGTGTGGCTACTGATGAGAGTGTTAAGTGAGACGGCGGTGGTAGTAGGAGACGAGTGAGATGGAAAGAGTTTCTTATGAAGAATTATAAAAAGAGAAATAGTGCAAAAAGAGCCCTTAGGAGCCACATGTATATGAAGTCGGGAGGTCAAACGAGAGAAGAAATCTACTGATTAGGGAAGTGTCACAGTATGACTGTCCACCATACCTGGGAGTGTGGAATTTGATGGCTATAGGAATTGAGATTATTTTAGGCTTTTCTTACTACAGGGTTGATATATTGTAGTTGTTATTATTGTCTTGTTTCCAGATTGATGTTGTCATGCGTGTTTGTCGTCGTCGTTTATCGACTTTGTATTATTGTTGCGCCCTTGTCGACATTGTAATATCCGTCTTGGCAAGGGGATTGGCGAATCTTGGTAGTAGTTTAATGAATTTCTTGGGGGAAGTTGAATAAAAGGCAACGTACGAATAAAGTAATATTATCCACAACAATATAAACAACTTATTAATTCATCATTATTTATGTTATGCCGTATTACATCGATTGCAACCGTGTCGCCTGAGCTGATCTGACACTGTCTAAATACAGAAATTAGCAGTCAAAAGAATACGTCATTTTATCACAGATATGATCAAAAACCAACCAAAACGCTGCAGATACGACTACGCCGTCATTGACATTCACAAGCTCACATTCACAAGCTGACATGGTCTTCATCCCTTATCTCATCAATCATATCTACAGGCCGAGTATGCAAGCGTTTAGTCTAATACTCTAAGGTTATGCGTCTTTTCCTTTCATCCTCCGAATTTACTAATTTTGGTGATGCTAGTTGACAATGCAAGCAGACGTTAAAGAGCTGCGACTCAGGTCCAAACTGTTTGTGGCACCGTTAATATTTCACCGCCCACTCGCCATGCCACGTGTGTTGATCCGGTGACAGCAAAATTAGACTATGCTGCGTCATTGCATTTACACGAACAGGTTATGCTGAGAGTCGCAGGCTTCTCTTGGCACAAATTTAACTGATCACCATTTGAGCTCGACTTTGTTATGAGTGAACGCGCCTTGAATTGTTATTGGCTAGATTGAGGGAAACTTGAATACCCGAGGGTCAACTTTGAGACTGTGCGATGCACGATTTGCAACTCGTTTCATCACAAGCGATTGGTAGTGCCAATTTTTTTTTTTCAAAAAGTTTTTGCCGCTTGACTCTATTTCGAAAAGGTTGCATAATAATAATAATTTTAAAACTGACTGAACTATGATACTCCTCTCATGAGATGCCAACCTTAATCCTGCTACACTCCTTTTTAATCAAGTACTTTATAAACGAAAAGTGACATGGACAAAACTAGGCGTAGAATAGATGAGACAATAACTTGTCCTCGCTTATAACTTTAGACGTGTGATGAGATGCAGTGCTGTCAGTTACTTTTTCTTAACTCGTTTTTTTAATAGGGGGTTTATTAAACATCCTGTAGATGGTTTTTTCAAACTTGCTCGTAAAAGCCTTTTGAATTAAGGTTGTCTTCCAAGTTGTCTCTACCTTTGTTGAAAGTTTTAATTAGCTGTCAAACTGTGGTGCTTTATATCTACAGGATTTTATAAGTTTGTATTAATTTTACTAACATCTGTCACTTGTCATTTTAGCAAATATGGAAATTAAAATTCAAGCTAGTGGTTTAGGATGAACGAACTTTGAACAAAATATCTTAACAATTATATATTTAAAACAAACCAAATTTGGTTTATTTTGAAGACCAAAACTCGGGCTTTTGTTTACGTATTATAGCGTATTAGCCCGTAAAATAAGAGGCATACGGCAAGAACTTTTGAATTACTCGCGTAATCTGCATAATTTCGAGAAATCCTTTACAATTTCCGGCAACTTTTTGTGAATTGCAAATTTGGTTTATTACCACGAATGCGCGACATTGTCCCATTCGTCCCACAGATAATTGCAACCATATCTTCTGGCAAAGAAATCTTAGCAATAAAATGTTCTCTTATTAATACGCGCTTTTTTAAAAGGGGTGACTTTGTTATCTCCTCATCCACAGTCTTCAGCTGGGTGTTGATAATATTTTTGCCTTGGATCTGAAATGCCTCATGTAACTCGGCAAACTTGTCTTTTGAACAACAACAATTGCATTCTATGTTAAAAAGTGTTTGCTCATCTTCAGAAGAATTATTTTTCATGTCGTTACGGGTAATTATATATAAATTTTAAAATTTGTGTTCTCTGTTTCAATATTTCCTACCAATGGTTTCAACTAAATCGTATATCATATTGGGTTTTTATTACTATCGTTTTTTAGTGTTTTAGTTAGCCGCATCAGTAGACCTTCTATTACTTCTTCCAATAACTGATTTCATCTCGCATACCGTCTGACATAAACAAAAACTAAAATAATTCCCGTTTCCGCATTCATCTCCGCCAAATTAATGGTACTGGATTATCATCTTTATCCAAGTAACCCAAGTTGGCTGCCGATTATTTGCGGTGCCTATTTGGTTTCCAAAAAAGTTTATTTTTTTAATTGCTCTTAGATAAAGTGGCTAACCATCTCATGAATCATAAAATAATTTGACTAAACCTCGGTTATTGCCTCAGTTAAAATTTTGGTATAATCATTACTTAGAATACTATTATCTGAAACATCTTCAAAAATCTGCGATCGGACTGTTATTCCTGTGTAAAAAACCAATGATGCAAAAAAGCTGTGCTCGTACGGTTATGGGTGAGTGCAATGCGTGCTATGCGCCAGGAACTCACTATCCTTGCTAATGCTCAACATCCACCAGCCTGTATAATCCGACCATACGAGGCCTTATTTGCGTTTACAGGTCTGGAACCTCACGTACTATACTGGCAGAGGTTAACGATTACCGGGGAATAATTTACATTTCAATCAATTATTTATTTCAATTGTGAGAAAACTCGAGCTTGACTCTATCTAAATTAGCTGATGCAGTATTCTACTATCTATAAATAGCACGAATCTTGGCCGAATATACTTGTAGGACGCGTTTTCAACGTTAGACTTACAGAATGCAACCGTTTGCGAATATATTTTGTAACGTATTCGTTAAATGTAGCATCATCTCTGATGCTATATTCTCAAGAGCGCCGTTCCGTAACAAAAATAATAAATTATGCATATGCTCTTGGGACTCGATATTTCATAATCGTTCATCGTTTATAATTCCTTAAACACAAATAGCTTTCCGAAATAAGTCTCCATCGTTTTTTGACTCTATTGATGTATTCGGTTCCGTGTTTTTTTAAGAGTACATGCATAATACAAAGGGCTCGCTTTTGTGAGGATTCTCCCGAAGAGGATTTTAAAAATCTGCGTCAATGCTCTGGCGTCTTCAGTGTTTAAATTTAAAAATACGACTAACTGATTGTGCAGTTTTAGCGATGGTGACAATATATGTTGACAGCTTTGAACGCTGAGATCTTCTGACGTTCAATTGTCCGAGTATGATGTATGAATGCGCTGTCTGCAACCTCAAAGTTATTTTTTCTGGAATCGGAATTCAATGATTCTAATTAATGTCTACAATTATTTACACGGTCCCGCTTCAATTGAACAGATATGTTCGGTCGTTAGCAAAGGTGATGAGTCAATCATCATCTATACACACTTTAATAGCACTATCCGTGACCCGTATACATTTAATTATTTATTGATTGATATGACGTACAATTAAATAAGAGCTCTGACCAAATACACCGACTATCCTCCACTTTAGAATGTAAACAATGCATCCATGTCGATTTCGTGGGAAGCGCTGAGCTGAGGCTTTTGCAGGTACTTCTCAGTAAGAATGTCACGCACAGAATTCAAGAGTTCCTGATATGTGAGCGGGTATTTCTTTTTCACACTAATAAAACGTGTATCATGATTAATATGAGTAGCATATCGTGGTAAAAGCTGTATAACGACAAAGACGTACGTTGTGATCAAAGCATATGACATAGCTCCAGTGCTCTTGCCTGCTTCAAATGCATCGGCCGATGTTTGCAAATCTTTGCATCTAATCAAAGCTTTCTTAATTAATAACGTCTTTACAAGATTTTTTACATAAAATGCATATAAATAATCAAATTGAAATCATGCCAACCCGCTCAACATTATAACATCAGCTTTACTCGATTTGTTAGCTTTGTTTCTTTGACTGATAACTTTTCCCTCTCTAGCCTTCTTCGTAAATGAATGTATGTTATCTTTCGCAACTTTCAGGTCGCCCTGGAGATATGAAATCCCTGCATAGAACAGCGCACTACCACCAGCCTTCAATATGCCTGGTTCCTTGATTATTCCCTTTGTTGAATAAGTATATGGAAGATCGAGAGCAGTTCCCGAATGGCACGAGTCAAAGATTACAGTCAGACGGACACCTGTAATATATTGTTAGAATCTGATATATGAAAAAAAGGCAATTGATTATTGCATACTTGCCCTCTGGCAATGGCTGTACTAGGATTTTGTTCAATTCCTACAAAGCATGCGCAAATGAGCAAATTTACATTATTGTACGTAAACTGTATATGCGTTACTAACATCGTCTATAATGTGCCCGGCAGTCGGAAAGTCGAGAGGCATAATGGTTTCGTCATAATAATCATCTTCATCACCATCCGTGTCAAGTATTTGGCCACCATGACCACTATAGTGCAAGAAAAGTCTAATGTTGAAATAAACCAAGTCTATCAGTTTCAATTGTGCTTATAGTCAAGTGGGCCCCTGTCCCGCCCTTCATCAATAACGTAGAGACAATGAATTCCATTCAAACTTTGCTACTCACGAATCACCAGGCTGCGCGTCCCTGACAAGCCATTTTAATCCTTCGATCATGTTTGCCCTCGTAGGAATCTTTGTCGTATCCAATTGATCGTCAGTCAGAACTCTGATACTCGATTCTTCATAGTCATGTTGTAACAAAAACGCTTTAATATTTGCTACATCGTTAATACATCCTGAAAAGCAGAGCAATGAAAGATGTTATTGCCAGATACCGATTGTCAGTAGTAAAGGGAAAACATGCGCAGAATATTCAGTATCTCTTACCCTTGAGTTCATATGGACTCCCGTAATAATTGATTCCAATCATTAAGGCTTTCTTCCTTCCCGACGACTGCACAAAACTCTGAGTACTCGTTTTGGTAGTACTTTTTCCATCTACGGTAGTTGTTACAGTAGTTGTAGCTTTATAGTACGTAGTCTGGTGTTCGCTCATGGCTGCAAGAGCGTTCAGGTTTCAGAGCAGAGGAAGAATACCCCAAGTCCACCACATCTTCAAATACCATCTCGCATCTCTCAGTGTCATTGGACGATCATAGCCAAACTTTTCTTCCCCCCAACAAGAACGATTATTAACACGTGTACAATCTGAGCCACAATATGCTTCCCATAGAACAATGAATGGGTTTTATTGATAGATCCATTACAAGGAGCGTGGGAATCTAAGATGGTCTACGGATATGGGATAATTGCGCAAAAATAAAGTGATACAATAGATCTTTATATTTACAGGTAAACTGAATTTTTATGATATAGCAATTTAATACTACCGAATCGGGAATAAGTTTCCACGATGCGTGTAACGGACGCTCGGTGATTAGATGCGTTTCATTCGAAAGCTAGTATTGCAAGCAGAGAGCAGCATTATTCTAAACCTAATTTGTAGTTCCCATTCCCTGTCACTGCCTTTTATTATTAATTAACTGCACTAAACAAGAAATTAGTATACGCTCTCAATCAATGTTTATTTACTCTGTGTCAGTAGCCAAATGCGTAGATGATCTACTAGGATAATGGTTTGGGGCTGATTAACTTAATAACCGATGCGACAATCACACAGTCTGTTTGTACTTCTTCAAAATGGTCAAGCTGTTGCTTGGCAAAGAGCTTTTTATTTTGAAAGTGGCTATGACTTGCGGTTATAAACATGGCTTACGTAATCGATGTTGAAAATGATCTCTAGCAAGTTCATTCTTTTGATTTGCCCAATTTTTTTTTTCATGTCATTTTGCCTGTTGTGTAGTTTAACTCTATGCCTTTTTTGGCAGGAGTAAAAAAGGTTATTGATCGATCACTCTGGGCGGCGGAAAGAGGCTTTTTAGACTTGGTAATGGGAAAAGTAATTGAAGATTAAGTAGATCGGAATCAAAAACAAATACGAGAATTTATTTGTTTATTACTTTTACTAACCCTTTTAAGTTTGCATGCGAGCTAGAAAAAGCAAGCTTGCCCGTTTACCGAACATCATGTGGGAATATATCGAACAAATCGCTAATTCTAGCTTTTGGGATCAACATGATTCCATAGTTGGAAAATACAGTAGATGAATTAATATATGTACGATACTATTCTCGCGTCCAATTGCAAAAATAGAGTTTATGTTTTGGAAACAGTCAGTGAAAGTGTCTTTTCCAAAATAAATTGTTTGACGAGCCAGTGGTTCATGAGTTTCTGGTAATGTTGAATGTTAAAGCCTTCGTGATTTAATATCATGTGATGGTCAATTGTCAATCTTTTTCCTAATCATCGAAGGTAATTCAACCAACCATCGAGGAAGTAGCTAAGGGAGAGATTAGTTGAGATATTAATACAGTGAACCCTCTCTAAATGCAAGCTATGGTTCAGCTCCAAACTTATTTGACCGATAATGATGAACGGACGTATCTGCCTCGCGCTGACGTTGATAATCATTCCATAAACTCGACGACCGATTAGGTTATAAAATGTAGGTAATAGACTTTTTTCGTGCAACTCGCGTATTGCACTTACACTCTTTAGGAACCAGGATAAAGTTCCGTAGGCGTCTCTTAACGTGATATAAATTTATGCGTGCAACTTAAGCATACTCATTGCAGTCACGTCATTATCATCGCGTAATAAAGCATAATAATAACTAATATGACAGTTTAATCACCTGACCTATCAGTTGAAAGTCGCGTTTGAATTCCGGACATGTATAATGTGCGTCTCTACATTGTCAAAACCGACTCTGCATACATTATTAAAACGTTTTCACTGAAAAAAACGTTGTAATTCTACGTCAACTATAACCTTTATTGATCTCCAATGTCGACACGATTAATCATAGCACCTTTTGCATAAAAATTCTTTCGATTCAAAAGGCTTTTAGATTTTTCACCACTTTTGCTGTAATGTCTTTGTAAGCCTTTGCCTGTGCACTTTCAGGTTTTGCAACGACAATGGGTTTACCTTGATCAGACAATTTACAGACATCAACGTCCAGAGGAATATCGCCGAGAAATTCATATCCGAGTTGTTCAGACATTCTCCGAGCTCCCTCTGCGCCAAATATGTGAGTTTCATGGGTGCAATGAGGACATACAAACGTTGACATGTTCTGAATTATGCCCAAAACCTATTCAGAGTAGAAAATAGCTTGTTAAGAGATAATTCTGTGCTATACCAATAATTAATGCAAAATGTATTTGTGATTTCATTAATACGCTTGTTTGTTAACTTACTGGTACATTCACGCTCTTGAACATGTTTGCTCCTTTTACTGCATCAGCAAGTGCAAGTTCCTGCGGTGTAGATACAATAACGGCCCCTTATGGAAAATTTTTATTAGTAACTGATCACTTCTTTTGCAAAAAAAACTTCTATTTTGCTCACCAGTCATCTCCACTTGTTGTGTTAAAGTCAGTTGCACGTCTCCTGTTCCCGGTGGTAAATCAATCACAAGCACATCCAATTGTCCCCAATGTACTTGGTAAATCAACTGTTGTAAGGCTTTCATTACCTTGAGCAAAAGGACAATGTTAATTAATGTGAACAAAGATTAATACGAAAAAAAAAAATCTTACATACCATTAAACCTCTCCATACTACAGGCGATTCTTCTGGTATCAAAAATCCGAGCGACATACACTTAATTCCATAGTTCATGAGTGGAATAAGCTGATTACCTGTTCCATAATATGTAAATCAGTAAAAAATTAATATATATTGCCAAACCACAATATATATACTCACCCGACTCGGTTAATTCAGGCTTACCCGTAAGATTCATAAGCCTAGGAATCGATGGGCCAAAGATATCCGCATCCAATATACCTACACGCTTTTTCATACTCGCGATAGCAAGAGACAGGTTCACTTTAATCAGGTCAGCAGTGGGAGAGAACAAGAAAGGAGGGTGTCGTCTGTTAAATAATCAGCAAGGATTGAATAAACCCTCAAGCGAAAATTGTTATTATGAAACAATTGACCACACAACTCACCGCTAGTGGTGGACTTGCCAACCCCGCCTTTTCCAGACGCGACAGCAATTACATTGGTAACACCCGGTATTGGCTTTTTGGTAGGAAGTCCTCTCTGTGCTCGAGGGATACGTGGACCTGATGGTGATTCCGCGTTCTGAATTTGGGGCAATGTGAGGAAAAAAATGTCAAACGCCGGGTAAAAAATTTATAAAATGCAATCAACGTTTCACACAACTTTGGAAGTTGTGGTAATACCAATTCAAACAAGAAGCTTGTCGATTTCAATCCGCGGAAGGAAACGGGAGGTACTAGTCGAAGCGAGCGGACTGTTGGCGCGAATAACGACATGCTGTATGATGAAAGTAAGGTTCAAGTAGTGTCGGACTAGTAACTAGAATAATATATTGAAAGGCTATGGTGTGTTGGAAAAAGCGGATTATCAAAGTTTGTCTGATTTGTTTGTTTCGGTAATTTTTTGCCTTATACTGAATATAATGCATTTGAACGTTGCAACGATTTAAACAACTAGTCGATCTTGTATGTATTTGTTTGATTAAAAGCTTTAGGATTACATCTGATAATAACGATAAATTATGAATAGACTCGCGTTCAAATTTCTCAAGCGAATATTATACAATGCCAATAGCTATCAACCATTTCTTTTAGACGTTGCTTTGATTTTTCTTTTTTTAACAGCTTTGGGCATTTTGTTTTTTCGTCGTTCACGAGCTTCTTCTTTAGAGGCCTTTTTACGTTCCTTAACGGGGACAAAAAGATTGGTATCACCTTTGAGAATGCATCTTCAACTAACCAGAACATAATAACTCACTCTCTTGGCTTCTTTGTCTTCATGTCTCTTTCCTCTTGGTGTTTTCTTTGTTATTCGTTCGTGGTCATCATCCTGCTCTTCATCCTCATCATTACTATCCTCAGCGCTATTTTCTTCTTCAGAGTTGCTCTCGCTTCCTTCTTCACTGTTCTCTGAAACTTCATTCTCTTCGAGCATCCCGGCCTCTGCCATTTCCTTGGCAGTTTTCTTATCGAATATGGATAAACCCATCAATCTACGATATATAAGCTATGCAAAATAATATTCATTAGTAGAGCTTAGGGTTGTAAAGAACTACTCATATCGCATTTTTATGTAAAACAATTTTACTTCATCTTCATCATCCTCAGGCACTTTGAAAGCGTCTCTTTCTGCGTCCAATATTTCAACCATTGTTCGCGGTATGTAAGCATTCTTGAACACCTCTTCTTCGACTTCTTCTAGATTCTGTCGATCGATCTTTTGTTCGTGGGTCAAGTCTACGTCTGGTTCTTGTAGTAGTTTTTCTTGTATCTTTTATGGCGAATACCACAAAAAAGCGAAAGTATCGGTTCATACATGCAATCAACCTTGAACTTTTCCTCAACAGCAGCACTGAAATCATGATCAACAAACCTTGTCCAACTCCTCCTCCATTTCCTTTTCTTCAAAACCAAAACTCAAATCTGTGATAAAATCAAATAACTGCCGAATGCTCATCACTCTTACATGTTTCTTTTTGAAAAAATCAGTAATGTTGGCGCAATCCTTTCGTAGGAAATCCAGTGCATATGGATGGTCATGCTCCACCGATTGAGAAACGTCGATAATGTATAGCTTACGAGAGTTATATCTGCATGCGGTAAAGGAAGTGTTAAAGAGGACCGATTACTTTGATGATAGTTTAGTGACAAACACTGACGGTACAACTTACAAGAGGTTATATTCGCTCAAGTCAGCATGGACTAAGCGACATTTGTGAAACATTATTCGCATGTATTTTATTAATTGATAATACAGCTCGGGATACTTTGCCGCTCCGATATTCGCATCTTTTAGCCTCGGGTATGCCCTGTATACTCATGGTTCAGTCTTTTTGATTTCCTGTTTCCCAATTAATCCCCTGTCTATCGCTATCGCCAAAATCGCAAATCGCAAGTTCAAAATACTTTCGAATCTCTACTCACCATCCGCGCTCGTTACCGAGAAAACCCATAACAAGCACGTGCATTTTTAAACAAATAGGTTCCGGACACGGTATTCCAGCCTGCTGGAGTCTTTTCAGGTTTCGCATCTCCTTCTCTGCCCATAATTTCACCATTTTACGAGGATTATGTTTGCTGTATCCATGACGAAATCTGAATTCGCCTGTGACATATCTGTCGCGGTCTTTAAAAATTAGAATCGAAGTCTTGTAAACTTTTATTGCCCTTGCGCTTGCATCACTCGTTGCGTAGTATACATTAGCCTTTTTTTGTTAACAAGCTAAAGGTTAATGATAATGAATATCCGAGTAAATTGATTAACAGGCCACACTACCTCTTTCCCGGTACTGATACAGCCATGTATTTCGGAAATAACGTTCTGATTGATAAGCCGCAATAATATTATACGTGTTCGTGGGTCCAACACTTGTTCTGCTGTTGCTCGATCTGATTTATCTGTAAATTTCTGTCTTTGATTAACGAGAACAAGTGTCAACAAAACCCTATATAGTATAAAGCATGATTGTATATATCTAGTTAATTCTTACTTGTCGCCTTGTCTCTTCTTATCACTTAGTTTGATGTCGTTTATAACAGATACTGCCAATTGTGTCTCAATATCTTCGTGATCTGCCATGTTGGTTAGCAGAAACTCAAAAAAATTAATCAGCCACGAGCCAAAAATGTCGATCGTCATGAAAATGACGTACCATTTTTAATCAGGAGTTACCAAAAATGACTATAATTATAAGATATAACATTCGAATTTTCTCAATTAATATGCAACTTGGCAATTGTTCCAACATCTATCGTGATTAATGTGTTGAAGCACATACGCTAATGCAATTAGTTACGCAAGTGTCAATTTGAATTACGCTCTACTTTCTGATAACTTCAGATGTTGATGTTTCTTTTCTTGACGGTTTAACTTAATCCGTATGATAATGTGCGTGTAATGATCCGATGGCAGGAATTAGTACATTATTGGATTAACCACGAACGTTTCGATCGTAATAAGACTTTATTTCAAAACTAACCATGCCAATTACAGTTATAATAATACCTATATATGTACTGTATTTATGAGATTGAACATATTGTCAGTGCTTTTTATTATCAAAAGCCCATTCCCTCTCTGTTGGTTATTGCGGTAATAAGCAATATTGATTGGTCAGTAAGGTATTTGGCTCTCAATCGCGCTCTCAATAATTCATTCTCACATTCGCGTTTAATGTAACTCAAACATTCCATGTCATTTGGCTGTAAAAAAATACCGCTTTGGTCATTTAGCAACTCATCGATGTTGTCAACGACTTCAATGAGTTGCTCATCCAGCGACAGAGATTCTTGAGACAATTCACGTGTTTGCGGAGCGCGTTGATAACGGTTCGATTGGTCTATTCTCTCGGCTTTCTTTTCGTTCTCGGTGTTGGCTAATAAACTGCCTGTGTTAACAGTATACACTTTGCACGAATCAATTGCTCCAACCAATTTAGACATGCAGTGCTAGAACGTAAAATCAAATCGTTTAGTTTATAAATGCATTTTTCAGATGACTTGATATAAGTTTTGAGCCTACCTTATCCTGAAGCGGATCAAGGCTTTTAATCAACGTTCCTTGAATTTTTAACAAACGCTGTAAAATATTTTCCGCACCGTCGAATGGGATATTCTCTATTAAATACTCTACTTTGAGTCTGGCACCTTCCCTATTTTCCAGTCTTTGTTCATTAAAATATAGTAGCAGTTCGAACAGCTCGTGAACTAACTGATAGTAGGAAGGTTCATCATTGAGCATTTTCCAGAAAGTTTGCAATTTAACTGCAACATACAAGGATCTTATTTTGATGCTTTCTAGTCTTTTTATAACATTATTTAAAACGTCAACTATGAGTTGCTTAAAGTGTGAAAAGTCGTCTTGCCATTTCAGGGAAATCTCAACAAGAACGAGACAAGTGCTCTCGTTTGGACTCCTCGCAATGTTGTATTCCTGAGTTGCACTAAGGCGTAATATCATCCTGTCTGTGTCTTTTTTAAGCTGCTTTATCTTTAACGCGACCGTGCTACTATTGTCCCACAAATTTGATGCGATTTTATCTTTCTGGAAGACGTCTCTATAAACTGTCTGTAATGATAGACGAATACCAGATAAATATTCGGAAATTAATGTATACTGAAGCCTCTTTCCGACTGGCGGCTGACTCATTTCTCTCAGCAGGGCATAATGTTTAACCAACACCTTGGCAACTCTCGCAACTACGTGTGCGCACGATAGAGGATTGGCGAACATCTTAGTAAAAATTTTCCAAAAGTCTATTACGCATTTAGTTAATTGGTCTTTGTCGTCTCTCACAAGATTCATTTTAAAAAGTTGCATCTCATCACGTCTCTCCTCCAGCTGAACTTTAACACTCAGTCTGTCAATAAAGTTGACAATGTCTTTCGTATACGATACCTGGCTTCGATTCGTGCGTTCAGTATGAAAGACATGACCTTTATTGACGCTTTGGATCGACGCTTTGCTTAGATTGATATGTTTTATGAGTGAAATATGAATTTGTTTAATTACGTTTTTGCATTCGCCCCATAATCTGTGAAAATTAAATTGTACTATATTGACACGCTTAGCAAGACCTTTAATAAAAATTTGACAATAGCGCTTGAAACCATCCATATGTTTTGTGTGTAAATAATAAGAAGTGACATGAACGCTGCTGAAGAGCTTGAGGCTTTAATGTCTCTCGACGTATTATCATCTCGGGCGTTGAAGACAATAAGTGTTATGTCTTATCAAACAATACATAAATCTTCTTATCACAGGACTTGTATTGTGAGGAAGGGGCTATTGTTAGAGATATTCTTGAGATTACATCTTGTGTTTAAACAACACGAGCAAGTCACGAGAATATTAGTAAATGATATTTTATATCAACATTAGAAATATTTGATGAAATATTGTTCACGTAAATTATTGTTGCTTTCTTTTTCGTATTTACACTGTAACAATGGTTAATTGTCTCGTTATGAAATAACCGGTTTGGTTGAAAGGGAAAACACCATCATCACATTATCAACCAGCTTGTCGCTTTTGAGATAAATAATTTTAAATCTGTCACGAGCCGGAAATGTTGGTCGAATCTTACCGTGCATCTTCAAATAAGTTTATACTTTTAAGCAAACTGTAATCTTGATTTCGAATTGGAATCTGCGTTTGGCTAGCGAAACACCCCATACTTGATGACTTAAATCTAAGAATTCCGATGGCATTCTCGCATAATATACTGTACCAATTATTGACTTAGTAATCTTAATATACTATCCCATCCTATCAATCATCATCATTTCTTTGACAAAGGCATGTAGCTTGTCAAGTTTGTAAAATCCCTCTCCCTCAATCTGTGGGTATGTTGTTTATTAATTTGTACTAAAATATGTTGAATCGCATATCGAATGCTCGAAACTCGTAATCATTAAATTCGTAACAGGTCATGTGAAAGGATCAATAATAATAAGATTATCACCGATTGTTGGCCACGTGATGCACACGCAGTTGGAATATAACCAGTTTTAACTTCGCTCCGAATTGACACATAATGGAAGAGACGCAGGGAAATAAAAATCGTAAAATAGAAACAGTTGTTGAGACGCCCAATAATTTAGACTTGGAGTCTTACATAGCAAACTACAAAGGCAAGACAGTAGAACTTTTCATACGAGTGCAAATGATACTATTCTGACCGTTACATTTCTCTTAGGACATACAAAGGTCGATCGTCTTCTCTTCATAGGAAAGCGATGTCCATCTCTTCAAATAGATGCCTATAAACTCGCCTTGGCCGAATTACACAGAAACTCATTAGATCATAATAAATACCTCACTACAGCCGCTAATTTAAATGAAATACTTAGTTCGCAAGGAAAACCTCTGTATCAACTCGACTCGAGATGGGTCGATACGGCACAGAAACGAGCCAAGGCAAATTTAGAGAGATTGGAAGGAGAGTTGAAGACCTACAAGAATAATTTAATAAAAGAGAGTATAAGGGTACTGTGGATCATTTCTTTTGGATCTTATTGATCTTGACAGTTAGTTCCTCCCTGCTTACTCCTCTCACTTTTCTCTCTCTTTTACGTATAGATGGGACATAATGACTTGGGTGATCATCATTACGAATGTGGCAATTTGACGGGTGCATTGAAATGCTACTCTCGAACGCGCGATTACTGTGCACAGACCAACCATATCATAGACATGTGTTTGAATGTCATCAAAGTCTCTATAGAACTGGGCAATTACTCGCATGTACACAGTTATGTGATCAAAGCGGAAACGACCCCGGATCTTCCAAATGCCGTGCAAGCAAAGCTAAAAGTGGCTGCTGCGTTGGCAAATCTCGACAGCAACAAATACAAAATCGCGGCTCGAAATTTCTTAGAGACTAGTTTTGAATTAGGAAACAATTATTCAGAGGTTATTATTCACCAAAATACCCTATGATTTGATTGTATATTATAATTCTCAAATTAATTAATTAATTATTTATTTATATTAAAGGTTGTTGCACCAAACGATGTAGCAGTTTATGGTGGCCTATGTGCACTTGCTTCGTTTGATCGAACGGAGCTCAAGAGCAAAGTCATTGATAATAATGAATTCAAGCAATTTCTTGAACTCGAGCCTCATATTCGCGAATTAATTCACGGATTTTATAATTCAAAGTACTCAGTAGTACTTGACATTATGGAAAAGTGGAAGGTAACACTATATTGTCTTGATGAAGTTATTCGAAAGTGCTTTCCTGATAGTTTATTTCCTTCTCTCTATAGAATGATTATCTTCTAGACATGCATTTACACAATCATGTACAGACGCTGTACGATAATATTCGTAAGAAAGCTTTAGTACAGTATTTTAGCCCTTTCTTGACAGTAGATATGAACAAGATGGCCCGGTCTTTTTCAACGACGGTACCAGCGCTAGAAAAAGAGCTTGCAAAATTGATTACTACTGGTCACATTCAAGCAAGGATTGATAGTCACAATAAGGTATTTTCGTGCGCGCGATGTATGCGGTCGTTAACAGATTGTCCAAGTGGCAGTGAGCGAGATAACCAAACCTATCCATTTTTTTCAGATTTTATGTGCGAAGCAGCAAGATCAACGCAGCAACATATTTATAAAGTCACTTCGTATGGGAAATGAGTATGAGAGTAACACCAATGCGATGCTTTTGCGGATGAACCTCCTGAAGTCTAACCTTGTTGTTACAAGGGAATCAAGGTAATATTGTCTAATTTCTCAATAGCCAGCTATATTGAGTGCTCTTAATCATTATATCACACTCACCGGCTTATATTCACTATGTAGAATACCGGAAGATAAAGTTGGAGGAGGCCTCAGCGCGTCTGCGAGAGTCATTTGATGTTTATACATTACTCCATAAGTACATATGCGATTACATCCTATTATACTAAATTGTATTATTTTACTAAATGCTTATAGATAAAAGACTCGGAAATAAACACATCATTCCAGAATCAGTGTTGCACACGAAAATGCCTTTACAAATGCTAATGTACATTCAACTCGTGAAGAATTTTGTTTGCTCCTGCAACAATCAGACGATGTTCTACAGAATGTATACGTGTTTGTAAATCGTCTAACGTGTCTGTCTCTAATATAGCAACTTCTTCAGACACAATCAGTTCACCACTGTCGACCTCGGGGATAACCTTATGAACCATCACCCCGGTTTTTTGTATCTCGCCTCGTTTGTAGGCCTCGTATGCACGTCTTATTGCATCAGTCCCGTTAAATTGACCCGGGAGAGCAGGGTGCAAATTAATGACGTTTTTTGGCGCGAAATGGTCCAGGAATTCACTGGAAAGTATCAGCATCCATCCTGCGAGAACTATCAGGTCCGGTTCGTAGACTTTTATTTTTGCAGCCAAGTCGATATCGTATTCTATTCGTGATTTCCCCGCGTCTCTGTATGCTTGTAGCGGAAACACTAAAGTAGGGATGTTTGCTGCTTCTGCACGCTTTAAACCATATGCAGTGGCCTTGCTCGAAACTACCAGAGTTATGGTTGCTTTCAGAGTTCCGTTCTCAGTGGCATCGATAAGAGCCTGAAGATTGGAACCGTAACCTGATATCAGCACAACAATTCGCGGCAACATCGTATCAGCGCGGCAAGTCTTTTTGAGTCACCTTTTAATAAATTAAAACAAGTTTTGTTGCAGGAGCGTGATTTCTGTATTACCAATGCCGCCAGTTAAAATCTTCTATAAAGTCAATAATATGCGTATAAAACTGCATTCTAATTCTAATTTTGCCTTGATTACATACTAATACGGTCCCCCAACATAAGGAAACCCTCTGTAAAGGAACAACCTTCATAAAAACATTTTATGAATCTGACTTATTGTAAATAAATAAACTGAACGCCTCACCTCGGAGACCGTATTGATCACATGACTGGCTGGGAAGTTGACTGTATTTCTGCAGAAATAGTTTTAAATCTTAAAATAGATCAGCAAGTAACGAAGGCAAAAAGTTTAGCGATCCGAGCTTTAAACATACTTTGAAGCAATAACAGTAAGCAATGGTTCGAAAGCTAAAGTACCATGAACAAAAACTGCTTAAGAGAGTAGACTTTATACATGTAAGTAAAATAGTACGATCCTGTCGGTCTCTGTCGCTGTCTATTACGTAGTCGACTTTACATTTTATTATTCATCTCCATTTAGTGGAAAAATGAAAACAATCTCCGCGAAATTAAGGTTCTTCGCCGTTATCACGTCCAGAATCGCGAAGACTATTACAAGTACAACAAACTCTGCGGTGCCATAAAAAAGCTTGCAAACCGGATTTCATTACTCAATCCGCGCGATCCTTTTCGAACGAAAAAGGAACAAGCCTTATTAGAGAAGCTGTATCAGATGGGTTTAATTACAGCAAAATCACAATTTTCTGCTGTAGATGGGATTACAGTTTCGGCCTTTTGTAGGTAAGCAAAATGAAAGCAAAAGAAATCAGGAGCGTTTTATATGCACGACCGAAACAAGTGTGTTTGGATAAAGACTCGCATTCAATGTTGCACTCCTGAAATTATACGCTTACATGTGATGCTTATGAAATTTTTTAGACGTCGACTACCAATAGTGATGTGCCGTTTAAAAATGGCCGAAACTGTGAAAGAAGCTATAACTTTTATCGAACAAGGACATGTGAGAGTTGGTCCTGAGACTATCACTGATCCAGCATATTTAGTTACAAGGTAAAGATCAA